TTAACTCTTTACAAGAGAGGTGCTGAGGGACTTAAAGGGGGGGAAAATCTCATTTTATACAGGATTAAGAAAAGCTTAGACCACACTCAAAGGCAAAATTCTTTTGAAACCAAGGCTGAGAACATTCCTTATTCAAAAGAGAAATTCCATTGTCGGGGAAATCACTAATACCAACTATCAAGGGAAAATGCTCATTCCTATTGCAGGATCAGCTAAAGTGAAACTGCTTTTTTAGTTGCTAGGAAACAACCAACTCATTATATACCATTATCCGAACTCTAGAGCAGAAACCTGGCATCTGCTTCACATTTGGGGATACTGAAGATTGAACTAAAAGCACTGAAACTGCTACCCCAAATCCCCGTCTCCAGGGTTTACACTGTGGCCCAGCGGGTGCTGACATCAGGCTCGCCTTTGAAGTTTCTTTTCTATAATCCTTCTAATAACTAAAATTATTGTTTCCAATACCTCACATTTTTTAACTCAAAGACTCCAAGAAAAGTCTTCTTAATTTAAGTCACACTGGTTATATCTACTATGCTGACCGCAACTTGATGTGTGCGTGTGTGTCTGCATGGTGCGGGGAGGCGGGTGGGGGGCTACTCAGAAATCTTAAAAAAAAATTACAGATATATTAAAAACTATTAGTCATCAAATGAAAGATATTAGGTACTTATGACTTTAATTAAAGTCAAAATGAAAAGTAAATGGAAATGGCTTCAAATATCAGGAGACTTAGAAGGAAGACAGACCATTAAATCTAGTACTCTAGTCAAAATAACATTCTAGAATTTATTTGCCTAGTTTTCCTAACTAATCCTAAAGATTAATTTATTTTTATGGCCTGGCATGCTTTTTCACAATGCATCATCACAAAATTTATTCAAGAAAATATACTACAGTAATTCATCAATCTTTTCCTTTTGTCCTAACAGATGAAGTTGGAGGGAGATTGAGTGGAAGTATGTGAATAAACTACCAGTTATTGGCAAAGTGAAACCCAGAGACTGCTTATATACTGTTGCTTCCTAAGGAAAGAGCATTCATAGCAGCTACTCATAATAGCCCAAAATATCCATCAACAAAAGAATAAACAAACATTGGTTACATGCATGCAATGTAACAGTATTCATCAATGAAAACAATTCATCTAGTTATATTTACAACAACATGGATGAGTTTCAAAAATTTTAGGCTAAATGAAGAAGGACAACTAAAAAGGCTATATATATACATACATATATATACATATACAAAAGGACTTCAAAAGTCATGTGAGAGAATTCCATTATTTTCCCACAAACTTTTTGAAGTTATCTCCTATATGATTTCATTTATAGAACATACAAACAAACACTCTTTGGTGATCAAAATCACAATAATAAATACCCACGGGCTGAGTTCTGGCGGCACTGTGGGATAAGCACTGGACTGCTACACTCAAAGTGGGCAAGTCAACCTGCACTCCATGGGAAAAAGATGAGGCGACCTGCTGCTGTAGAGATTTACAGGCTCACGGGACCAAAAGACTCTCTGGAGTGGGGAGGAGATGAGTCACTCAGGGTGCAGTATAGCAATAATAAAACCCACAACCTTCCTCTAGTTCTTAAACGCTTCCTCCCCCCAACAACCATGACCCCAATTCTACCTTGCAAACCTGGTTAGACCAGAGGATGCTGCACAGCGGTACAGATGGGAACTGGGAACACAGGGAATCTAGGACAGATGAAGCCCTCAGGACCAGCGGTGACAGTGGCAATACAGGGAGGGAATGGGGGGTAGAAAGGGAGAATCGATCACAAGGATTTACATATAACCTCCTCTGTGGGGGATGGGCAACAGAAGGGTGGGTGAAGGGAGACGCCGGCAGTGTAAGATAAGATATAATAATAATTTACAAATTATTAAGGGTTCATGAGGGAGGGGGAGGGGGAGGGGAAAAAAGGAAAGTGAGCTAATTCCAGGAACCCAAGAGGAAAGCGAATTTTGAGAATGATGAGGGCAACAAATGTATACGTGTGCTTTACACAATTGATGTATGGATTGTGATGAGTTGTATGAGCCCCAATAAAATGATTTTTTTTAAAAAGACTCTCAGAAAAGGTTCTCAGAATTCACTTACATGGACATCAGTGCACAAAGCACTTAAAGAACAAGTAAATCTTGTTCACTGCTTTTTCCTCACATAGGCATAAGGGGAAAAGCTTTAAGGGGCTTATTAAAATGAAGATTCATAACCTTTATAATACTTCACGACCATAAAAAAGTCTCCGAAACCCTACACAGGATCACCATGGATCAGAATCAAATAGATGGCAGTGGGTATGGCGGGGGGAAGAGGGTGTTGAAGAGACAGGAGTTTATGGAACTTTCTAGGGGAATGGAAATGTTCTCTATCTTAATTAGTGGTGCGCATATATACACATATCTAATCATTGAATTATATGGGAGGGTAAGTCCAAAAGTATTACTATTAGCATTCCTGCTAATTAACATATGCACAGGTTTATTCCAAACAAAACGTGTTTAGACATATCCTACAAGCAGTAGATGATTGCATACAAGTTCTCTCAGCAACTTGTCTTAATCTCTTTAAGTTGTCTACAAAACAAAAGGTTCAATAAAAGCAGTGGTTCCCAAGGGGATCTGCTGGGCCAGTTAAATTCAAAGCAGACATGAGTTGAGAAGGCTACAGTGAATATTTTGGGGGATCTCCAATGGGTCATATTAATGGATTTTTTCAAAGCACACTGGGAAATCCTATTGAAAAGAAGGTTTGAAAAATCAAAAACTACAGTGGTTAGAAAAAGGCCAGCGAAGGGATGATTCTCATCACAAAGCACCTGCTTATCTGTAAGGGTAGCCAGGGTTGTTCTGTAAGAATTTCATGGGGAAAGCTTACCCCATCTACCCAATAGCCCTGATCTTGCCCTTTTAGATTTTTCCATTGCCTAAATTAAAAGATCATTCCAAAGAAACACAATGTGGGTTGCTCATGAAGGCTAAAAATGCTATCTTGCAGTGTAAAGCAGAGTGCAGGAGTCTTCATAAAAGGGTTAGGGAGATGGAAACACCACCTTCAGAAATGTATAGTTATAGATAGAGGATTTCTAAAAACAGCAACTTTACATGGTGATATTTTATCTAATAAAGGCCCCTATGATTTTGCTACAATATTTTTTTATTTACTCTGATATTTAAGATCAGTACATTCTACTCTGTGTGCAATTTCAACTCAATAAAACATTGTTAGAGGAAAAAAATGTCAACTACATTTCCAGTCCAACATGGCAGACTGACCACAAATATTCATCTCTCCCAAAAACAGTTACTGGGAATGGACATGAATGACTTCTGGACTGGTACTTTTCTATTTTCTCGACCTAAGTAAGGGCTGTACAACTGTTTCAGCTGTAAAATTTGGACAACTCAATTACCAGGTACACTTATGATAGGTACATTTTTCTTTATATATGCTATATTCTATCTTTTTAATCACTTAGTGAATTAGGTACCCGTTAAAGTGTACTGGTGTATAGAGCTTCTTCCCAGCTTCTTCACCTGTCAAAGTATGTCATAGTCCATAGCTTTTCACTCCCCTCTAAAATGTACAGACCACCCCCCAAAAAAATTACTTTTCAAAAGCTTGTACAGTAAATAAGCAGTCTACTCGCTACGCTTGAAGTACCCCAATAAATTGATCCATCTTTCCATCACATCTTTCCATCTACTATTTCCTAGCATGCCTGCTGAAAACATGCATTTCATGCTATCCTTAGCACTTTTCATAGTAAACGGTGACTCTCACATGACTTACGTGTCAGAGCTCATTATATCCTATCTCCAAACGAGGTGCCCTGCTAGACTCCCAGATTCCCCAAACATTTTTTTGAGTGAAGCCTTTAATAAAGGTTGCAAAGAACAAAGGATAAAATCAGATTACAGAGACGTGGAGAGCCTGGGTGAATTAAAAAATCAAAATTTTATAAATGTAGGCAATTAACACAATTATCCTATATTCTTCATGGTATTTAGCTAGAGTAAGGAGAAGGCTGGACTGAACCAGACAAATAAAGGTCAGGGTCACAAATAACCAACTGTAAGATTTAGGCGCAAAAAGGAAGAAATGTAATTAATAGCTTTAAATGGCTAGGAGAACAGATCAGAGCAGCAGAATTGGAAGAATAACAAGATGTTATGGTCACAATAGAAGAGCTTCAGAGTTTAAGACATATTTTATTTGCTTACTTATACATCTGAAAATATGAATATCTACCATTAGAATTGCTCAGCTACAGCATGCGACCTAACACAGAATAGGATCTGAATAAATAAGGGGTAGCTGTAAGTTGGGGGAGAAAATGTGAATTACTTTTAATATTTACCCATTTAACATAATTACAAACTCATATCTACTGAGGAAAAAAAAGTATCCACGCAAACGAGAACTAACATATGTTTGTAGATTATCTAATCCAATCCTCTCTTCATTCTTAATGATAAATTAAAATTGTTTTGACAAATATTATATATGCAATTATATAACCATGTGTATTCTGAGGAAACAAAAATTTCATTTTGTTCTGAAGTCATTTTAATTCAAGTAGTCATGATTTATATATTTATCTTCTTCATTTGGGGGGTTGCTGCATGGCCCTTATCATTCAAAATTACCAAAATATGATTAACCATAAGTCTGTAGGAGTCAGATTACATATAAAATAGATTTTCCCTTCTTAATGCTGACTCAATAAAGCAACAACACAATTTTCTTGAAAAAGACATTAAGATTTTCAGGACTCATAAGCAATGGGAAAGTGTAAATCATGTAAAAGTAAAATTTGGTCTTGGCACCAAGTGACACATCCACTCAGTCTATCCAATTGGATTCCTTTGTCAAACACCTTAAATCTGACTGAAAATTTTAATAGTTTCCCAATCAACAAATGCATAACCATAGCTTTGCCAACAATACGAAATACTGAATGCCATTGTCCTACCTGTCTCAACAGCTTTTCAATGGCTGACATCACCAGGAGGCCTCTCCAGACAACTGGTGCAGTCTCTCCAACCAGGAAGCCCATGGACATACTGGAACAGCAACCCCACATACAGGAGTCAATCATATTCCAAAATGTAAACAACAAACAAAAACTCTAAAAAATAACTTTAAGTAACAAAGATATGCTCACCAAGCAATACCATAATTCATGAGCGGCTTCATTAGGTTATCTGAAATTAGAACAAGAAAAAAAAAATGTATCTTTTAAAAGCGTAAAGTCATTAAACATAAACATAATGACTTGTTTTCTTTTCAAAGTGCCAAGCTGAAAAATGCAAGTAAGTTACTAGTATCAATGTTCTTTAACTCCCTAGCAATTCACGTCCATTGACAATAGTTTAAACATTGTAATAAGAATACTACTAGGAGTCTTTTTTTACTACTAAGATTCTTAATAAATAAAACAGCTAAAATAGTTTGGATATAGTTTTATTAATAAATGAATCCTCTACAAATTGAAAGAATTTTTAAAATATCCTCAGTAAGTAGTTTTGCCTAGTAAAAGCCTTTTAAACGTTTTGGCATTTCTAGCAATTTTATTCATATAAGTAAGTGTATAAGCTACTTAATATGTGCGTACATATATGAATGTAGCCATGTGCATGTGTACACACATGCACACCTACACAGATCTAGTCAGCATAATCCATTCACTCTACACTGGAGAATTATTGTGATCTTTTTTCTTTATTTTCCCTTTATCTTGATACACATACACAAAAAAACAGCTGCACTTTAATGATCAACAAATTTTTACCATATAACAATCTTTTGGTCTGTAATTATATATAGAAAACTATCTGTGTACCTACATCTCCACTCACTTTTGCTACCACATCCTGTACTTCTCACCACAACAACTACAAGAGAAACTCTCTTCATGTGTATAAGTTGGACCAGTTTGGGCTTTCAGAAGTTAACAAGAAAAATATTAAAAAGCAACCCAAACACAAAAACCAAACACACTGCCAAGTCAACTCTTCACACCTCTACATAGGGTTTTCCAAGGTATACATTTATTTATATTAATAAAATTTGTAGAAATGCCAAAAAGCTTAAAAGGCTTTCACTACACAAATTTATTTTATTTATGTTTTTTTACAAATTTACTTTATAGGAGCAGGTGGCCTGAGCCTTTTTCCTGGGTGGATTTGAATCACTGACAGAGCAGTTAGCAGTCCAGCACTATTCGACTCCAAATCTACCTGAACCTTTTATTTTAGCTTAAGCATATCAATGTACACTCATTCACTAAAACCTTATGAAAGGTTCACACATAGCCTTTTCAATGAGCAGGAAGCCAGTAAATACAATTCAATAACATATCTAAATAAGCCACATCTGTCTGGTTTATCTTAAGAACTCCGGTGGCTTAGCTGGTAACACAATGGGCTGCTAAACCTCAAGTCAGCAGCGCAAACCCACCAGCCGATCACTGGGAGAGTGACAGATCAGTTTGCTTCATCAAGATGTGCAGCCTCAAACCCCCGTGGAGCAGCTCTCCTCTGCCCGACAGAGTCACTGTAAGTCAGGACTCAGCCGCAGTCGGTGTGGGTGGTTTTTGTTTGCTTCCTTGCTTGCTTTCGTATTT